GGTTAAGAATCTTTTTTTTCTAGATTTTCCTCCTTTAAAATTGGGTGTATCTTATATGCCAGAGAGTCTTATGTGCCGAAAAATATGGTAGTACTCTGGAATTTTTCTAACATTAAAGAGGCATGCCAAAGCATTCTCTGTGCAAGTTTTCTGGTTTGTTATAATGTGCTATAAAATAATATTAATCTAAATTTCCTGTTGCTGAATATATGGCACAAGAGCAAGTTCCCAAATGACTTTTCAGAATTATACTGAGCTTAATACAAATGTTCATGGATATACAATATTCAGGAAATTGGGCATGATCTGAAATTATTCTGGGGGCATACACCACACTGCACAAGTAACTACTCTGTCTTCTGGAAAACAAGAAAGCTCACTTTGAAGTTCACTGTAAAAGAGACATTTTATTTGTTCCAGCACAAATTTAAAATGTTCAGTTTTCACACCGATAAGCAAACCTCCATAACACTGTTTTTCTTACTTGCTGGAATATTAGGCTAGGTACTGATTGCAAGGCAAATGACAACAATTTGTAAGGTTGCAAGGCATGGCTGAATGGGTTTCTAATAGCCCTGTACAATTTGTGCAGAAGAGACGGGTGTGTGAGGAGGTTGTTGCCAAGAATCTAGAAAGCCAGAAAACACATGACTTCGAAGCAGTGTTCAGCTCAATTGATCTTGGCTTCTTCTGGCCTGATCTATAAATGCATTCTGCTGCAAAACAGAGCAATGTTCTCAGCAGAGGCCCTAGCCTCACGTGGTTGTACTGTAAAAGTTCAGAATCTACATCCAGCAGCATAGGGAAAAGAAGGCCCCAGGACCTGAGTCTAAGGGATTCAAGTATGCAAGGGATAATACCTAGAGATAATGTTAGAACCTAGAAGCTCCTGAAGGACCCTACCCTACCATGGGTGTTAGCATAATCCAGGATTGTGAAGAGATGGCCCATCCAATGCCTGTCAATCAAACTGTCATTGGAACATTTTCACGCACAAATCCATTTCTTATGTGTAACATAGCATACCAGCTGCCACTCTCTGGATTCCTTATTCGGCATCTTTATTGTTGTTTTTCAAGTGTGGCATAGTGGTTTGATTACTGGACTATGACTCTGGATATCAGGGCTCAATTGCCTGGTTGGCCATGAAACCCACTGGGTGATTTTGGGCAAGTCACATGCTGTCAGCCTCAGGGGAAGGCAATGGGAAACCTCCTCTGAACAAATCTTGCCAAGAAAACCCCATAGGGTCATCTTAGGGTTGCCATAAGTCAGAAACTACTTGAAGACACTCAACATCAACAACAAGCCATTGAAATAAGCCATAAGACAAAGACAAATGTGCTACCAGACTTAAACAATAGTTGGCATTTCTTCACTCTTTCTTCCTATTCTTCAAATAATGGTAATGTGACTACACATGGATTTGGAAAAGCAGTCAGACAAAATCTAAGCAAATGAGAATGGAGTCCACTTCTGGATGAACTATTACAAAAATAAAAAGAAACTGTCACTTCTGCAAATCTCACTATCTGTCTCATAATTCTATTTTATTATGCTACTTACAGGAAAATTCCATCAGGTTGCAAATTCATCCATGAGGGAATAAGGGAAAGACAGGTTTCCTATCCTTTGCCTCCACCCTCTTATCATCTGTATTTGGAACACATTCAATTTTTATCAAAATATTTAATGGACACATGAACATCTACATTATTTAGGAAATAAAAGGTGTATTGCATATTACTAGATGCCTTCTGGCCTCAACAGAATGATCAATATAATGTTTTAGGACTTCTGGGGGCAATGGATATGATATCCTAGTCTAGACTTACATAGAAACATTATACATAACACTGGAAATGAGGTGCTTATGTGTTAGGTGTGCCTTTGATAAATTACCTTATTTTCCTGCGTATAAGACTACTTTTTAACCTGCAAAATCTGTGGTTAGAGTGGGGGGGTCGTCTTATACGCCGGGTATAAAGATAAGGAGGATAGAGGTGCTAAAACTCTATATTTTGACTGGAAAAATGGGGGGTCGTCTTATACGCCGGGTCGTCTTGTACGCCGGAAAATACGGTACTTGTAGGATGGCCAGATTTTAGCTCCGAAGCTCACATGGCTCCCAGCAGTTCTCAAGGATGGCTTTTGAACACAGCCTGCATAAGTTACTTTTTGGACAATAGTACCCAAAAACATGCCTCATGGCTTTGCTGTGCAGGGGATTCTGAGAGCTGTCACCCAAATAAGTAATTTTTTCAAGCTCTGTTCCTCAGTGAGATGCAATATACCAGATATCTGTGAAAGTACAAACCTCTTAACATCAGTGCATCCCTGTAAAATAAAAGTTTGTTCAGCATAATCAAGACATAAATAGTCAGAGAGCTAAGAAGGATTGGTAGAAAACAGAGGGTTTGGGAAAGAACTCCACCTCCAGAAAATGCTCTCAGACCTCAGAAACAATAGTAAAGAGCCAGGAGTGTAGCTATTTTGCCATTGTTTGTTGTTGTGTGCCTTCATCTCATTTCCAACTTATGGTGACTAAGGTGAACCTATCATGGGGTTTTCTTGGCAAGATTTGTTTATGGGGGGGGGGTGTCTTTACCTTCTTCTGAAGCTGAGGAAGTGTGACATGCCCAAGGTCACCCAATCAGTTTCAATGGGCTGAGCAGGGATTTGAACCCTGGTCTTCAGAGTTGTAGTCTTAACACTTAAACCACTATACCACACTGGCTGTCAGGTGTAGCTATGGAGGAAAAGTAAGGACACTGCCCCTTCAAAATATGGATTCTCCCCCCTAGTGAAATTTTCCTTCAGTCCCAAAATGTTCTAGCACTGAAGAGAGTGAAACATTGAAAATCATCCCACCTCATATTTGCTATGTTCCCATTCCCTTGCTAACTTTGTTTTCCCTTTTCTTTGGAAGCCTAAACTCTTTCTAAATTTCAAGTGCCATTTTAAGTTGCTGCAATACTAGACATTTGAGGACTGAAGAAAAATTCCATAGGGGCACAGAATTCTTTTTGGAGGTACAATGCCTTCCTTTTGCCTCCCCTTCCAGCTGTTCTTTAAGAGCCATTTGATATGACTAGCCAGTAGACAAATCATCTCTTTTAGTCCTTTCTCCTATTTAAATTCTGAAAAATTCTACACTGACAGAGCCATGAAGCAGATCTTACATATCCACTCTATTTTATGGCTCTTGGTTGTATAATTATAATATTTTCTATTATTCCAAGCTTTAATACTACTTGTACTTGAGATACAAGTAGCATGCCATGTTGCCCCTGAACCAACAAGCAAAGACATTTTTTTATTCAGGGAGGACAGCCACTTACTTCCTGTTATGGTTTGATATTGTAAAAAGGATAAGTTTTAATAATCTAATAGTATGGTTTGCATTTTAATTTGTATAACTTACTGTTGGGTTTTTTGCTGGATTTTTAAAAAAGGAAATGTCATAAGCCACTTTGCATTCCAATTCTGGCAGAGAAGCAGGCTACAAATCAAGAAAGGAAGGAAAGTTTGGGCTTTTAGTCTTTTTCCAATGAAAGTATAACAAAATTACATTTCAAAAGTAAGGCAACAAATAACAATGACACTATTTTTGGAATAATGTTTAAACTGTACTAGGAAATAATTTCTATCTACTCTTTGCATCCTAAAAGGCATTTCAAGCAGAATCTTTCACATTTTTGCCATTCTCATCTATATTAAGTGGTAAATATTTTTAAATATTTTTAAATAATATTTTTGAAGAATAAAGTATTTTTTAAAGAAGCTACTGTAAGAACAGATTATGGCAAAACAGAATGGCTCCCAGTCACCAAAGGGATCAGGCAAGGCAGCAGTCTATCACCCTATTTGTTCAGCTTGTACACAGAAAATATCATATGATGAACATGTTTAAACTCGGAAAAAGGAGGAGTAAAGAATATCAACAATCTAAAATATATGGATGACACCATACTATAAGCAGAAAACATCAATGTCTTGGAACAATTATTAAGGAAGATCAAAGAAGAAAGTGCAAAGGCAGGTTTAATGCTGAACACAAAGAAAACAAAAATAATGACCATGGAGGAACTACATAAATTCAGCCTACACAATTGTGCCTCCTCTGTCAGCAGTCTGGGAAACTTTGCAGACTGCCAGAAATAGTGCAAACTGAGTCCACTTCAAGGGTTATGGTTAGTGCTAGGGAATCATGGGAATTGGTTTTTTTTTTCTGAGACATTGAGTCTTCTCTGTCAGAGAGCTCTGGTGCCACAATAAAATACAGTTTCCCATGATTCCCTATCCCTAACCCTAATCCTTAAAGTGGACTCAGTTTGCACTATTTCTGGCAGTCTGCAAAGGCTCATAGAGTAGAATAGGTTTCTGTGGGGTTTTTTGGGCAGTGGGGCTGTGTTCTAGAAGAAAATATTCCTGACGTTTCACCTGCATCTGTGGCTCATCTTCAGAGAATAGAGTAGAATGATTGTAACATTAGCAGCTTCCTCATACTATCAGAATATCTGTGGGAAGAATGAGACACTTTATAGACTTAAGTGAAACAATGCCAAAGCCTAGAAAAGGTTTTATGTGTGTGTGTGTGTTTCTTTGGCCTACAACTCCCAGAGTTCCCAGTCAGCATGGGATCTGGGAACTGCAGCTCAGTTTCCAAGACCAGCTTTGTCCTCTCAACTTTCTGTTGCCCTCCTCCTCCTTCAGTTTCCACAACCAGATGCCTATTGAGAAAGAGCGGCAGGACCATCTGTTTTTGTCACACACTTGGTGTCATTTGTGTCCCCAGAGCCATACCTGGAACAGAAGGAATTACAAGATGCTGGCAGGTTTCAGCCAGATCACAAAAGGATGAGGCCACAACATCTTGTGAGACCAATGACATCTGATTATATTCCAGCTATTTCCAGGAAGATTGGCTCACAGGGCTTTTTTTCATGGAAATCCGCCAAGGCTTGTTTCCATCCCAGATGACTATTATGAAAACTTTGCAGGATTAAGAACTGGTTCCCAAGTTTGCTTACCTTGTTTCACTCCTCGGCTTCTCTTCCTTCTACATCATATCTCCTTTTTAAAAAACTGGAAGCTGTTTTGGTGGTGTTACTGGCTGAAATGAAATCACCAATAGGTACTCAGTGGATTTTGCAATACAGGGGGGTTGCAGACTGCCAGAAATAGTGTGAATTCAGTCCACTTTTAGGGTTAGGGTTAGTGCTAGGGAATCATGGGAACTGTTATTTTCCTGAGACATTGAGCCTTCTCTGTCAGACAACTCTGGTGCCACAATAAAATACAGTTCCCATGGTTCCCTAACTCTAACCCTAACCCTAAAAGTGGACTGAATTCACACTATTTCTGGCAGTCTGCAACCCCCCATAGTCAGTGATGTTTTATTCTTGTATACTATATGTGGCCAACCTGTGGCCTTCATTTAGCCCTTGGCCATTCCTTGTACAACCTGTTTAGCCTGGGGTGGGGGCTGCCCACTTTTGCCATCAAGAAATTGAACAGCTACGAGCTAGGAAGTAGGAAACATTGTTCTTTTCCTGTTACAAGTAACAGCCAAGAAATACCAATCTGTACAGGAAACCACAACTTATTTGACAGGCTAGGGATTGGAGGACTGTCAGAAAGTGGCATTGGTTGAAAAGTGGAACCAAAGGTTTTGGTTTTTTTAAGATTACAAATGTAGTTTGGCTACTGAAAAGTGAAATAACACACTATAATCATTTTTGAATGCATGCAAAAGCTAAATTAACACACTATACATAAGTGCATGTGCATGGTCCCAAGCAAAAAGCAAAGCAGCTTATTTATATACCGCTTCATATCACGCTATGGGATGTCTAAGCGGTTTACAACTGTGAGCTGATTGCCCCTCAACAAGCTGGGTACTCATTTTAGCAACCTCGGAAGGATGCAGGCCTGAGTCGAGCCTCAGCCCTGGCTGGTATTGAACTCGCAACCTTGTGGTCTATGAGTGAGTGGCTGCAGTACAGGCATTTAACCACTGCGCCACCAGGACTGTGGTGGTAAGAAGAAAGCAAGCCTGCTAGGTAAGAAGAACTGATGAAAGACTAGAACCCTTGTCAAATTAATGGGATGTGACTGTAAATTGCAAATGTTGAAAGTGCAAGTCATCAAAAAGTGAGGAATCAAATGGTTGTAATTACTGGAAAAGTGTTGGTTTGCATCTGTACATGTGTATTTGTATACATGTAACGTGTGTTCAGAAGTGTGCACATGGTAGGTTCCACAATTCCCCAGCCAGCATCATGTGTGACCCTCAGGATCAAAAATGGTGCTTACACCGTTGCATATTTAAATACAAGATAACGTTAGCTGTGCCATTCCTTTCAAGACAGCCAATTTAGTAACATATTATTTGAAGCTGACAGTAGCTTTTTATCAGTCCCATCTATTCTCCCCATACTTTAACATTCTTGCAGACTGTTAATGTTAGTGACAAATTAATTTTACAGAGAATTTGGTGTACTTCCTCAAGATAACTCCAATCTAATTTAACATTCGGTAACCTCATGTTGTAATTAGAATTGCTTGCATTATGTTCAAATAGAAATCCCAACATCTATTTTCAGTAGGGTTGTCAGAGTCTGGCTCTGAGTCTCCAGTTTTCATGGATCATCTCCAGTCAGAAGATGAGGCTACTAGGCATGAGGAAAGGGCTGTATGCAAATCTTCAGCTCTAGCATAGCAGCACCTTGCTACAATTTTCAAGGCTTGATAGATTTGTTGCTGCAACTTGCAAAACTCTACTAGTGGTACATGTATTTCCCTCCCAGTTGTGGTGCCAGGGCTTGCTCTCTGCTCTGCTCCTCACCCACCTTCTTACTAGAAGCAAGTAGGCTAGATTAAAGGCTGATGCAGACCGGCCAAAAGGGCCAGCCTGGGGGAGGAGTTGGGGCAGGCCGACTGTACACCGGCCACCCTGACACCGCCCTGATGCCTCCATCATGCCGCATGCCTGACCGCACAGCACACAATGTCAGGGCACCCTGTGGGTGCAGCGTGCAGACATGCTGCACCAAAGGGGCACAAAAGAACTGCTGTGGTGGTGCTAAGGGCAGCTTTTTGCTGCCCAAAAATGGAGCAGCATTTGCCAGCTCTTTTTTGGAGTGGCAAAAAGGAGGATCGGGGCTGCAGCGTGTTGGTGCCACTGCCCTGATCCAGCGCTCCCAGGGGCAGCACAGAGCCACCCCTTAGGGGCCGTCTGCATCAGCCCCAAGTCCCTATCTTGTCTTCCCAAGCAGGTGAAGAACTGCAGTTTTTAATTTAGTGTTATTAATGCATAATGCTTAGTAAAATCACCAGGAACCATATCTATACACAAACCTTTATTATTCAATATGATTCCCCTCCTCCCCCACACACTATTGAGGAAACAAATATGTGTGTAAGTGCTTCTACATGACAAAGAAGCCTTATTCAAATCTTAAGGATCTGGGTACTCTAATTACACAAGAAAGAGGAATGTTGCTAGTCCCTTCCCACTTTTGCATTTCTGTCACTCATTTGGAAGGCAACCTTCTGAAGAGAAGTCTCCTTTTGTCATGGATACTCCCCACAGTCCATATCCTCCAACTTTTCACAGTTGAAAACTGTGCATACATGGCCAAGCAACATTAAAGCATGGCCAAGATGGCAAAAGTCATTAATGAGGAAGAAAACAAAAGCTAGGAGAGGCTGCCACAGTTTGTTTTTGCCTGA